GGGGCGTCGCATTGCGCTCATTGGGCTTGTCATGCTTTTCATTGGCTGGCCTGATACGACGTTTGTCGCAAGTTTGATCTATGGTTTCTCACCATTGCTTTTCGCTTCATGTCCCCATCTACAAGGCGCAGCCAGCCCACTGTGTGACCAGTGATTCCATCTACGAAGATGCTCAACGAGGTGCTGGCCGCATTGTTCAGAGCCTCCGTCCCAGTGAACATGACGAGGCTATTGTCCAAGCGGGAGAAGAGGACCAAGCCAAAGGTTTTTGTGGGCCCTCCCTAAATTCCGCAAACTTCGTGTTATTGACGATGCTTGCTGACGGAGGCCAGAGCGCCCTCACACAAGCATTCAACCTGGCCTGCGTGTTCAGCTTCTATGGCAAGCCGCCTCCTCATCTCCGCGCAGGGAGGAGCTCCTGCGGGCAGGCATTTGGTCTGGTGGTAAAAACCAGCCCAACGCCTATCGACGCATTCCAATGCGGCCGGACCACAGCAATATGGCCATCGCGGCGGACTATGACCGCCATGCTAGAGCCCCACGTTTTCGACGTTACTATGGATCGCTGTTCGGGCTCCCCAACGCCGTGTGTTCCTTCAACAGGTTCCCTCGCTTCTTTCAGGCAGCCTGCCGTCGACTGCCCTACTGCACGACCATGCAGTCTGCACTTTGACGACCTGACCATCCAGCACTTTGGCATTATGGGAGGCGCCGGTCAAGCTTTTGTCAATGAGCTGGCGACCTGCTTCGGTTCACCTTTCCAAGCGGAGAAACATCAGTCCCTGGCTGCCCAATCCGATGCTGTGGCGGGCTGCCACCAGGGTGCTCCGGTGAAATTTTGGGCCCGTGACCGCCTTGTGACCAAGGTCACCGACATTATGGCTGAAGCTGCCCAAACGCAACGATTCCCAGCGGGCCTTGCAGCAAAACTCTTCGGTTGCCTTGGGTTCTTGGGCAAACTCGGACGATCAGGACTTCACAGTATCAAAGAGCGCCAGTGCTCCTCCCAGGCCCAGATGACAGACGAGCTCTACCAGTCCTTCAGTTGAAGCCGGAGCGAGAACTTCCCCTTAGCCTAGTGCGGCAGCGCCGGTACTTGGCAGCTTCGGATGCTGCGCAAGATCTGCCACGCGAGGGCTCCGCCGGGGTGCTTTTCATTGATCCCCAAGGCCACCGTCGAGCCTATGTTGTCCACATTCTTCCTGAGATTTTTGAGGTTTGGTCGCATCATGAGGCCAAGATTGCCCAACTGGAGCTTTTGACAGTATATATGGGGTTAGCCTACAATGCTTCGTCTGCGAGAGGGATGCATGGCATCTGTTTCGTTGACAATATCGCAGCCCTTATGTCCCTCATCCGGGGGGGACGGAGTAACAATGAGGAGTTAGACTCCATGGCCGGGGCCGTTCATGGTTTGCTCTTCGCACTTCGCAGCGCTTGCTACTTTGAGTGGGTGCAGAGCAAGGACAACGGGTCGGACGGCGTCAGTAGACAAGGAGCCCAAGACCCTTGGTTCCAACGACATTCCACACCTACCGTTTACTCATGCTCCTCCACCTACCACATCATCGCTCAGGTCTTCCAGTATGTCAAAGTGCTTTGGATACGTTAGTGCCTTGGATGGAGCTCCCACAGGGAGAGTGTCAGCCGTCAGATGACACATGCGACGTGGGTCGCTTTGCAAACCAAAGCACTCGAGTACAGACAGTACAGACCTGAATCGATTCG